TTTAAAATATTGGTCTTGCATTGCTTCTTTCTGAAGGGAGAGGAATTAAGGAAACAGATTGGGTCTCCTGCCTACATTGAGTGTAGCTCAAAAACACAGCAGGTTATAGTTTCTCTACATATTCTTTGTATGTTTTAACTGAAAAGTTGTGTTGAAGCCCCTTTTTCTGATGGGATCTTGTGTGATGGCTTTCCTGCAGAATGTGAAGGCAGTTTTTGATGCAGCTATTAAGGTAGTGCTCCAGCCTCCGAAGAAAAATAAGAAGAAGAAAAAGGCACATGGTGGTTGCTCAATACTATGATCAGTGGAAAGATTCAAGAACGACAAAGATGGATTGACTTGCCAGCTTCTTGCTGCTCATATCTCTATCACTGTCACCTTTTTCAATTCAAGGAAGCAGCAAGCCATCGTGTATAGTCTCAACTGACATTCTAGGGTTTTCTGTGAAAGCATCAGATTGTTTGTTTTGTGTTTTACTTATTGTCATGATCTATAGTTGATGAGAAGCATTCCTTGTTAACATGCACGTCCCTTCTGCGTTTCATGTTTAGACTTTACTCATGTATTAACCAGATGTGAGGAAGATGCTATTACCAAATAACTGTTTTCTTGCATGATGTTTAAATTTAAGCAATTAGATTAATTGATAAGTATAGCTGGATGCCATGAGTCTTAAAATTTAAGTGTTGATGTGTCGTGATTTTTTTATACAGACAAATTACCAAATGGGGCAAATCGTATTCCCATTAGCCTTATCACTCCTTCATATCATCCATGCCAAACGCCTTTAGTGTTCATGGTCCCGGATTTTCTAATATTCTGTCTTGATTATTAAAGTATTGTTTTCAGTATGATTGTTTTCATTTTATAGTGTCGAGTAGATGCTTGTAATTTCTATCATGGGGATACAGATTTGACTGTGTTAATTATTTGCTTATCCGCTGATTAATGAGGTTAAGTTTTAAGTGGTATGGAAAGCAGAGCGACTGTTGGCATTAGGCCCAGTCTACTTGCAGGCGTTTTAAGAGATGTTTAAAAGGAGCCGGCCTTGGGTGTGGGGTGAGGACTCCTTAGTGGGGCAGGCCCAGTCTCATTTAGAGGCTCTCCTGACCTGCGGAGCTAGGAGTAGACCTGTAATTGAGACCCAAATCTGAGGCTCCGGTCACCATGGACGCAGCTGGACCCAGGAATATAGGATCAAGAACTGTAAACACATTATTTATTAATTCATAAACACTGCAAAAAGACAAAAGGTTTTAGTCGGGAGGCAATTTCAAGTTTCAACGTTGGGCTTTTATTGTGTGACAGTTGCTGCAACAAGCAATTGCTCTGTGTTGGTTAAGGCTAAAGTGAAAAACGGTCCCATATATTCCAAGATTTTTTCAAACGAATTTGGCATTGCGGAAGAAGTAGGTAAGTGGAATTTTCTGTCCACGCATGCAACAACAGGTCAAGGTCTTCCCTCCCTGACTTTCCCTTGTTTTTTCCATGGCCCATGTCCTGGGGGCTGTTGCCCTTTTTCCAAGTTCTTTACTTTCTTTTTTCTTTAAAAAAAAAAAAGAAAGGAAATTGGTGCTCTGCTTGACTTGAAACGGTAAGAAATGGTAAGTCTAACTTTTATATATTATAAATTTAAAAATATAATAGATCAAAAATGCTTAAGAGCACATAATAAATCAGGAAAACTTTAAACACTTCATAATCAAATATTATTTCCAAAATATCAATAATGCATGAATCAATACCTGAACTCTTTTAAATATCTTTACTATCCAAAAATCGCTTAAATTAATAAGAAAGAAAACAAAAAGTGTTATATCTTTGACTAAATAGTAAATTTGAATTCGATTTTTTAAAAATGTTTTTATTATTTTTGAATTAGAGTTTGAGATTTTAATTTTGAAGATATGAAGTGTTTTTTTTTATTTTTTATTAGTTTTGCTGAAACAATAAGTTATTTTTTATTTTTAATTATTTCTTATATTATTTTCTCAATTTTGATTTGGTATTCAACGTGGGAAGTGCTTTTAATTATCTTTGAAATTCATAACAAGAAAAATTCATCATTAAACTGCTTCCTGTGAAAGTTTGAAATTTTCCGTAAGACAAAGACGCAATACCAATTAAATGAGGATATGTTAGTCTTTGCCTGACATTTTCCAAGATATCAACATAACTCATTAATCAAAAGAAAATATGGTCTCGTGATGCAGAAGTAAGTTATGAACACAAAAATGGAGGAAAACGAAAAATATGTGTTGAATTTGCACCCAAATTCAAAAAGGGGAGCTCCAATTCTGCTTTCGAGGAGCGTTTATTGTGGTTCATGAACCAACACGTCCAACCCTAAAAAAACTTTGGCTGAAATTCCATGAACCCTAATTTCAGTTCCCAAAATTCTGGGGTTGCCTTTACTTGCTTTCGAGAAGGAAGGAAGGAAGGAAGGGTGGTACAACATTGGGATAGGAAATTCTCCTTTTACCATCTAACCATTCCCATCACTTGCACTTTAATTAAAGAATTATCGTCTAATCACCAGTTAAAGGTAAATAATAATGGTGTTGCCTTGTTTGATAACAAGGTAAACATTGCACATTATGTCCCCCTCCCTTTCCCACATCATCCTCACACCTTCGATCGATCAACTTCATAATTAACTATGATCTTCCCAGCTAAGACCAAACTTTACGCAACAGAAATCAAGTCTTCCTTCCCCTTTGGGATTAGGTACTCTCTCAATTTCCTCGCAATTTTCCTTTTTGGGGGCCAATTCTTATTTAAACGCGGCTCAAGCCACGACCTCCTATTTTCTTCCTATGTTTTCCGCGTGGTATTGGAAAGTGGAAGTCTGTCCCATTTTTTTCTATATTTGTCAAACACGCATCAAAATCACTGGGAAAAACACAGAAATTGTATCAAAGTTTTATTTTATTTTTGAGAATTGAATATGTTATGGCAAAATAGATTAAAAGCTTTTAAAATTAATTATAAATAATATTGTATAAATGTAAAATATTTTTAATAAATTAAAAGATGATGTGATGTAAAGTTAAAATATAATTATTTTTAATTTAAATTCTCAACATATTTGCTAGTAAGATGCATTTTTTTATGTTAATTTATTAATTTTAAATAAAAAAAAAGTTTATACATGAAAGATAAGATTAACAAAAATTTGATTACAATGTATTGTATCATAAGATACATATCACATGTCAAATAATACACGATTATATATAATTGTTACATATTCATTCATACTTATCTTTTATTAATATCATAGGCTACACAGTAATATTTTATTATGCTAATATTCATCCTCACCTTATTCTAGGTGTTATTATTAATTTATTAATTAAAAATAGAAAAGTTTAATATATTGAAGATATAATCAATAAAATTTTGATTAAAGTGTTATGTATTGTAAAATAGCTATTACGTTTCGAAGTATAGACAATCATATACAATGTTAGGCATCTGTTTATTTTTTTAATATTATATGATATATAATAATATTTTAATATGTTAATAATCACACTCACCTTTAAGAATGAACAAATAGATAAATTAAGTGGCTTGATCCATTACATCTAAAGACCAAATAGATTAAATAGTTTGAAAAAATTGATCCAAACTGATCAAACATAAAAGAAGATTAAACCAACAAAGCATATAATTGGTTTGGTTGATTCAGTTTTAACCGATGAATCAAAATTTTATTATTTTTTTACAAATTATAATATTAAAATTTATAAACTTTATTCATAATTATAAAATATACAAATTATGTATATATAAGATATATTTCTTTATTATAAATATGAAATTAATGATACAACTTATATGTTATGATATTTTAATTTTTATATCAAAGTTTGTATAAATAATAACTAATTATAAACAACATGGTATAAAAATTAAGGGGATAACTAATAAAATTATTAAGTGTAATAATATAAATAAAGTATATTATAAGTTATCGTAGTGCTTATGTATAAATTAAATATTTGTATGTGTATAATATATTACTTTATTATGTATATATGAAATTAATTACACAATTTATATGTTATAATATTTTATATCAAAATTTATATAAATAGTAACTAATTATAAACAATATGTGATAAAAGCTAAGGTGATAATTAATAAGATTATTATGTTTAATCATATAAATAAAGTTTATTATAAGCTATAGTAATGTTTATATATAAATTATATATATAATATTTATACAATTATATATATATTTATAATATTCTATATTACGAACTATTACCAAGGTGTTATAATTACAATATATTAACATATAGAATATTTATTAGCATATATTATAATATTAACATATAAATTATATCATTTAAAATATATAACTTGTAATTTCATATTAATATAAATTTATAAATAAATATATAATTAAAATTAAATTATTATGATTATGATTTGTATACGCATATATAATAAATTAATATATTTTAAATATATTATTAATTAAGTTTACAATCAATTATTCTTAATATATATAAAAATTATTATATATATCAATATATAAAAATATATATAATTAATTTAATTTTTTAAATAAATTAATTTAAATTTTTTAAAATCTAGAATCAATCAAAAAATCAATTAAATCAAATATTTTAAACCAGTTAATCTAATAAATTAATTAAACTAAATCATTTTACCTAAATCACATACAATTTAAATAAATAAATAAATAATTTAATTTAATTTTATTCACCTCTACTCACCATATCTTAGGCGTTACCGTTAACACTGCTGCAAGAGAAAATGCTTGCAACTAGCAGTGGGATGGCAGGCACGGTGGAACAAAACGGTGCAGGAGAAGCCACGTAAGAAGGGTTAACATATAATGTATAATATCTAAAAGCAAGAATGGAAACGTGGCGCTTTTTAATTGGATTAAAAAATTCGGCGGGTGTACGTAGAAAAACTACATACCATCCCACTTTCCGTTGCCAAAGAAACGAAACGGGAGAGTAAAGATAAGCTCAATAGAGAAATATATATATATTTTTTGGCCAAAACGAATATTAATTCGGACCCTTTTTGTAATTTCAACCCCGAATTATATTAATTTAAAACCCCGAACCCGACATTCCCGAGACGACTCATTTAACTCGTTAAAATCCGCTCTTCGTCCACCAAATTCTTTTCTCTCTTAATCGTCGGCGCCGCTACAGCTTAGCTCTTTTCACTATTACTGAATTGTAAATTTGGTTCATTAGGATTCGGAGGAGGAGGAGGAGGAGGAGGAAGGGAAATTGGGGGCGGGGGGAGGGTATGGCGATATCGGATGCGGTGATTGGGAATTTGATGACGATCTACGTGGCAGTGATAGCGGGGATAAAGGCGTATGGTTTAGTATGTGGGCGGAGCTTCAGTGGCGGGTTCGTGCTGATTGTGTCGAGCACGGTGTGGGTCTCATCTTGGTCGGGACGCTGACTTGGGACGTCTCTCGTAAAGCCACGTACGCGATTTCCCGTGATCACGCTCCCGCGGTCCATGTTCACGAGATTTGCAAGGGTGGTATTTGCTGTGCACGGCGTGGCGGTGCGTTCCCTGCTTCTCAGGTCCGGTTCAGGCTCCCTCAGCAATTCCATACGGTTCTTTGTAAAAAAAAAAAGTGAATGAAAAAGTTGAAAAGCACGAGCCGAAAAAAAAAATGGAAGAAGAAAAGGGGTATTTGAGTTTCGACGCTGTAAGATATAAGGTTGTCTCTGGCTAAGACAAAAGCCTTGAGGTGTTTGGGTTGTTTTCTCCTTGAATTTTGATTGAGAGGAATAAAATATTGTGTATAAAGCTATAAAATAACATACCAAATGGAAGATGTTTTGTGAATAAATAAATAAATGGTTCCCCGTTGCTCTTGGTTTTTTCTTTTGCACCGACCAAAGTTTGTTCTGTTGTACAAGTGCTTTCAAGATGGAAACAGAGGAGTGAGGCAGAGTTTACATGGTTTAATTGCTCGGTTTGGTCGGCCTACCGACAACGAACGCAGCATTTTTGCCAGGAGGAAGTCCAGTCCAGGATTCTCAAAAAGGTTATTGCAGTTTATACGTTGGAAGATGTCAGAGCTAGGGTGGCAATTATTACAGATTTTTCAGGAAAATAAGTAAGAAGAGCACTTCTGCTAAAAAAAAGCTGTATTGATACTTTTGTTCATATAAAACAGTTAAAGTAGTGCCCTAGTTATGTGTGTATTTTGTTGGTTTGTCTGTTTAGAACAAGCCATGCTTCTTCTTGGCAGGTTGGGTTCCCTTTCTTTTGTCTTGTTTATGGATAGGAAAGGTCGTACCAGAAATAATTGCAAGGATGATGATGGATTAATTTGGATGGGATGTGTAGCAGTCGGTAGCCGTCCCTCCGTTTTGATGCCGATTGGTGAAGAGATACAGCTGCGGTGGCTGCTTCCATCTATTGATTTCCAAATCCCAGGGCAATCCCCTTGGCGTAAAGCCATCCAGGGACTCAGAATCAGATGTTGCTGAAATAAAAAGGAACTCCAAAATCTGAATTCACCCAAGCTCCCAATGGCTGCCTTCAGCATATATTTACGCAATGTAGATTTGCTGCTGATTTTAACCCCACAAGAAGCAATTTGTTAGTTAGTACACATCTTAAAGGAGTCAATCAGCTCTTCCTTCTAAAAATAAAAAAATAAAGAGGGTGTAGCTGGCTCTGCACTTTTGGTGGTTTAGATGTCCATAGCATAAGTAGGAAATTCTATTTGATGCAACGTCAGCTTGGCAGTTGCTGACCCTGACTAGGTCCAAAACAACGCAGTGCTTGGTAATGGGGTTGAAATGTACTCTTGCTCCCCTGGTTTTTACTTATATACTGTCTTGTCATTCGTTGAACCTAATTTGGGTGTAAGTAATTGGAAAAGTACTAACTTAGTGTAAATGATGAAGCTTTTTGGTGGCTGTTTTCGAGACATGACATTAATTGTTGCATTCATTCAAGATGGATGGTCATGTTCTAACGACCTTAAAACAACTGTTTTTTTTTTAATAAAGAAAAACAAAGCTAAATCAAAGACAAAAATGGCAGTAGGAATTAGCTTAGCTTTAAAAGATTGGTCTGTCTGTGAATTGCGATCAACAAGTGCCCATTTTAATTCAGGAAACAAATTTTTGTTAGTATGCATCCAAGGTTCTTTGTTTCTTGGCTTGATCTGTGAGACTGTGGCTCGCTGCTTTCTTTGCTTTTCTTTTTGGTGAACTTTCCAGCTTTAAGTAAAAGAATTGTTAGAATCATCAAGTTGTTGATATTAAACCCAAACGGATTCCATACCCTCTGCTTTACCTAATCTGGACTTTTCAATCCAATGAAGGTTTTCCTCCAATCATGGAAGCAAAGCCCCATTCTGTTTTCCACTTCTTTCTCTTTCCTGACTTTTTTTCCCCTCCTTTTTGTATAACTTTGCTGATTTAATCTACTCTTCAGAAAGATTCTTAGTCCTTTGTTATTTAGTTTTTTATGTTAGTTGCCTTAGCTTTGACTTTAAATCTCTGCCTTTGGCAGAGCATCAAGGCATTGTCTGTAAATTCAAGTTGGGAAAATTTTACCTATGTATCTCTCCATGGATACTGCATTATACGTTCTCTTGCGTTAAGAAATTTGTCTTTGTTGAATAAGGACGAGTTTAATCATTTCAAAGAGATTGGCCTTGATTCGCTTCCTGAAAAAGGCGTTCAGCGAACAGACATGGCTGCCGCCTGAAGTCAGGGATGTGGAACCCCTTTGTTTCTCTTATTGGATTTTGCGTCTTGGCGTGCAGAATCTAAAGCAATGTGTTTTTTTTTTTTTGCGCATAAGTAAGTATAATGAGCAGTGTTTCGAGATTAAGTTCGATAAAAAAGAGAGTTGACGTGCAAGCTTTCTTGCTGCATCTAAACTCTTTTATCTCTCTCAACGTTTTCAATTCAAAGAAAAGCCTCAACCAACATTCTTGGGATTTCTGTGACTGCATTACATCGCTTATTTGTTTTGTTCAACATTCATTATCAGGGGCCATAACAGACGATAAGCAATTACTGATTAAATTTAGACATGAAAAGCACTGCTGCCTTACGCTGCTTTTCATGTTTAAGTTTCTCTAATGTCGGTAACAACCCTTGGTCAAAATAACTGTCTCCCATAAACGACCAGGTTGGAGCGCTGAAATCTAATCGCGTTTAAATTTAGATGATCTCAGGAACCAAAAGAAGAAAACAGAAGTTTGGAATTCAAACTCCACGACCAGGATCCTACAAGTAATTAAGTTTTCTGGTTTTCAGTTCTAATCAAATTGAACAAAAGCATGCATTTGAAAACTTTCGCCCCCCCTTTTTTACCACTTCAATCAGGGTCCTAAAAAAAGGACAATTTAAACTAACAAAGGTCACGATCAAAAATGAATTCCGATTCGAGAATTAAAAATAAATAAAAAAAAAGCCATTTTCTATGTTAGACGAATGGTACCATAAAGTCACCACACCCGCCAACCATCATTTTTTTTTTTTTGGTTTTACTCAAACTAGACAACCTGGTTACCCTCACGTCTCGGGCTGCAAGGCATAATTTACAATTTAATGGATTCAAATTTCTCACCCATTATACCACCTTTTTGTCTCTGGAACTGAATGTAACGCATCGTGCTTGCAAGGAAAGCATCTGAAGCACTATCTGGGGTTGCAGAATCACTCTGCTTCTCGGTATTGATTAGTTCTATCAGGCCTTGGATTGCTGCACCCGTGATTTGCTGATTTCCTTTTTCGAAGAAGTAGAGGTACCTGAAGCAAAAGTGACAGAAATACATGTTCATGACGTAAAGATGAAGCTGTGTAGTATGAGAAGGTTGAATTCGGTACAGCTTAAAGCACTCACTTATTTAATATCTCAACAAAGAGTGTGACTGGCCCACTGCTACCTCGTGCAACATTTGCCATTTGCTGAGCAGCATTTGCGATCCTCAATGCACGCTTTAGGCAAAGCAGGACCCTGCAACATCTCCCATGATGATATTAAAGAAGCAATCCACAGCATTTTGACGCGTGGACACGAATACAGGATGAAACCATAAAAAATTTCAAGCTAAAACTGGTTAAGTACAAGGTTCACACCTTTCCCCATCCTTAACACCATCTTGATCATCTACCCAAAAAAGATGTGAACATGCATAAACAGCTCGGCACTGATCAGGTTTCTTCAATAGCCTAGCTGAATACTGACCAAAGTAATATGTATTTAAGTTTTGCATAAACATATCAATAAAGCACAATAATCCGATAAGAGGCAAGCATTATTACCCCTGTGGCCTTGTGCGTCAAAGTGTCTCGGTTCTCAACACCAAATACATTCATCCTCTGGAGAGTCCCAACTATCAGATGAATTGCGGTCACTTGGGCTTTGGAGTCCTAAGAGCAACAAAAATTCATGAAACTACACAAATTAGAAGGCAAGAATGTGACTGGCTTATGGCTTTTTTTATTTAAAACATTAACTGATGAGTAGACAATTACCGCAATTTCTTCTTCATATAATACAAATGCTTGAGTGAAAAATTCATAAGCAACATGCTCAAGGTCGCCGTCATTAGCTGCCTGTTAGTCAGCAGGAAACAGTAAAAAGAACAAAATAGAGGTTAGAGGGTTCAACATGGACTTTAACGCTCTTTTTGTCAAAAGAATGCAAAACCAAAGACGAAATATGCAATATTGTTTGATGATGCATGAATTGCCATCAGCATAGTGGTGGAATGCCATTAAAATTGAGGCATCATGATGAGAGATTAGTGGTGGCAGCACCCTCTTAGCATCTAAACCAGAAATACTGTCCAACAGAGATCAATAACGTATGAAATCAAGATAAAAAATTCAAGAATAATCAGTCACTACCCCAAGATTTTCACAAATAAAGTTGATTGTTCTTGGATACAACTGCTCCATCAGAAATCTCTCATTCCTTGTGAGCAGAATTAATTACCTCAACATGCCTTTCCCAAAAAATGGCATGTTGCTCTTAAAATACAATAAAACTTGTTATGCTCCAAAGAAATTCTTGGTGTTCCATAAATCATTTCATGAATGACTTTATGCAGTAATTATTATAGTCAAGACTCAAGATTACCTCAGCACATTGGAGGGACAACCTTAATGCAAGTTCAGGTGATGGAACAGTTGATAGATCCTCAATGATCTGAAAGAACGATTAGAGTGATCTTTTGCACAATGATGATATATATCATAAGTGAGAACATACACACTGCATAAGAAACAGTGATTAATCCATAAAAAACAGAGAAACCTGAGTCAGGAGCTGAAAAATTTTCTTTGGTGTAGCTGGCACTTCTTCTCCCACTATATCTCCCTCCTGACCTTGCAATTGCCTTACCAACTGCACCCAAGCACCATAACAAGTCCAAATTACACTCACTAGCAATATTATCTGTGGAATTTATCCATTTTAGTATTCTTTTTGGGAATTTGTCTCAATAAATTCTGAATTAACATGCATATATACATCACACCTTTTTTACTGTCGGGGAAAGGGAAAGGGGGGAGGGGGGGAGTAGGAGGGGGAAGGATCTAAGAGACAATAATAATGATTATGCCTCAAAACCTAACTGCCTTGCATGCGTAATCTTGTAGATTGGTAGTGATAAGCCTCTAATACTTCGATGTTGTAGACAAAAAAATGACGAGACAATGGTACATAACAAGCTGGTAGAGGAAGAAACATACTCTAAGTGCAGAAAACACAAGAGAAGGAACTGTAAAAGGCAGGCGTTTTGGTCCCCCAGCCATTGTATGCTTCCTCACGGTACATATAATCTGAAGGGAAGTAATTATAAACATTAAAAGGAGGAAAAACAGTTTCTGATCAGTCATAAACAACATAACCAAATGAGAAACATTGCAATTAAGCATAAAATTATCCTAAATACAGTACAATAGTGACATTTTATGGGAAGTGAACAGATCTTCAAACCTTAGTCACTAGCGGAAGATTGTGAAGTTTCATTTTCTTATCTTTTAATACTATTCACTTATATATTGTATTGGCATATCTTATCCTGATAATGGTCAGAGCAATTAGAATAAAAAGAAGCATTGGTAAATCTTACCTTCAACATTTCCTCTGGTTCATTGTTGTAAAGCATGTGTATGAGCCGAGCAACAGAATTTTGTTCATCCTTGAAATCATCCTCATCAAGCTATTGACAGACACAGAACACATGACAAACACAAGAAAGAAGAACCATATGTTGATAACTTATGTTGATAACTTATGCACATTCCAAAAACATGATAAGGAAAACTAAGCAGTAGGGGAAAGAAAACAATCCAATATTGACAAAAATAGAGTAATGGAAAGCTACTCGTATAATTCATATCATTCAATTTTTATAAAATAACAGGAAAATTCTAGTTTCAATATGCACCTCATCCACATCAGAACCATCCATATCCTTAATGAGACCTTTTATCAATTCGAACAACACTTCAACCTACAACATGCAATGTTACTTTCTTCAACTAAAGAACTAGATACAATTATAGAAATAGAGAAGACTGAAGAGACATACCTTGTCAGCAGTTGAAATGCAAGTGTTGTTTTTCATAATGCTTTGAATGATAACCATTGCCATGACTTTATTTGTTCCATTATCAAGATGGTCCATTACACGTGGATAATTAGAAAGTGTCAGGGCTGTTACTATATCATTGTATTTCTCCAATGGAGCACTCAAAAGTGCAACCACTTGTTTCGTTGCCCGGCTATCGTCAAGTTTTGGTATGTTAGAGAGCTTCTTAACACAGGCTCCCTGTTACAGGGTTGCATAATAAAGAACAATCACTATTACTGTGATACATTGCCCAGCATCGTAATATAACATGGCCAAAGTTATGGCACTGAAGGCGACTTTCTAAATAGAGTCCCCAGATGAAACATACCAGTACTAGATCCACATAATCAAGCCGATCAGGATGAACACGAAGAGTAAAGGTAAGAAGAGAGACATACAAAGTTATAGCTCCGACCGCAGGCATGTCAACCTGCGTTTCTATGACCTGCCATTGAATCCTATCTGATCAGCAAGCAGAACACAACTCATGATTCCACATTAAACGCATCAAAAATAGAGAACTTTGTTTACTGGTAGGGAAAATGGAAAAAGGGGTAAGCTAGAGGTCATTATCTAGAAACTGGAGGTGGTAAGTTCAGTGGCCATGGCCGGAGTTGATCAAGTCAAAGCATTCACATTCTTTAACTGAATTATTCCTTCAGCACATTGAAAAAAGTTTCAAGGTAAATTTGCAACCTCAGGGTGAGAGAGTAATAGCTAATTTACCTTCCCAATTGCATTGCTCAATTTACCAAATGCTTCTACTTGTAGAAATTCAGGTAATACCTGGCATAAAAACGTCAGTCAACAAATGGCAAAAGCATGAAGGGCAAAGGTTGTTATGCTGATAACTTACATCTGCACTCGAAGCAGCATAATTTGACAGTCTGTCCATTAGTCGAGACAAAACTGTCTTAATGTCAACGGTTGGCTGTGATAAAAGAAGAAAAATACATTTATTGAGCTTAGTGCCCAAAATATGGAAGGACCATAAAACACAATAAAAGGAACTCGTAAGCGTTAAACGAAAAATTGGTTCCAATGAACAAGATCCTTATCATGAGGAAATCACACAGAAGAAGAACCAGTCTATCTAGTCATTTCCAGAATGCATGCTCACTTTATGGAACATAGGGTAGGTTTAGGAATGAGAAGTTTGTTAAGAAAATCAGACTCTGGAACTCCTATGGAGACAATCAAATTAGCTAGCACATAAGAAGTAGGTTGGTCAGGGAAAGGGAAATTCTGTTCCATGATCACTAGAAAATAGTGGCCAGTCATTACAATTTTCTGGTCACGCATACTGACTTCACCATTATGTAAATATTGAGAAACAGCAAGCTTGATAGCTAAATTCTTGAGGTGGAGAAACTCATAGTTAATATGCCATAGAAGGACAACTAGGGTAACCTAAAGCCTAAAGCTAACAATTGCATTAAGAGAAGATTGGCTTCTAATATAGTCCAGTAACCCACCTGGAGCTGAGGGCAGGCACCCAATAATGTCTCAAGAGTCTGCAAGTGATACTCATCAGGGAACACCTGAATTATGCAATCCATCAAATAATATTGCGAAAGATCATCTTTGCAATTGACAACCTGTAAAAGCCAATTCATCAGCCAATTTGAAAACCAGAGAACATCTTTTAATGCTATGGACCTCTGAATAATTATATTAAAAAATAAAAAGAAGTGGAGAAAGTAAAATCACCTGCTCTAAGACTCTGGGCAGAACTGTTTCTTTGTACATCTCAAGATCTACCCCTTCTATCTGACTGAGAACATGGAGATTTTTCCCTACCTAATAAAAAAGTTTTAAGACAGAAACATTAATTTCCCTCAAATGAGCATCAAAGACACAGCTTCAGAGTTCAGCCAACTGAAAATTTTAGATTATTGATATTACAAGATCTCGGAGTTCGTTCCTTTCTTTTTCCTGCTTCTCTCTAACTCTACCAGGTCCCTGCAGACCAGAAATCCCAATTGAAGGCTTCAACTCAGGATGACCAAAGAGTATGAATGATTCACAAGCACCATAACACCTGCATGGCCAAAATTCATGCTCTCATGGTTTATTTTCACTTCTATGGCATGCAAGTACTGTGGTGCAATGCATGTCCGGAAAATTAGCGATAATAGATATTCAACAAACCTGATGCTGCATTCGCACCCAAAGTTTATTCATCTCGGTGAAATTCTGCAGCACAAATTCCACAGCATCCATCACAGTGCCATCATCTCTGCAGGAAGATAGAATCACATTCCAACAAGTGGTTAATTACGAATCTTTTCCAAATTATTTGCACATCCTAGTTTAGACATGCAAACGAAAATTCAAGATCTGCATGAACTCTCATCTAAGCAAATTCAAAAGCAGCTGCTATAGAGATTCAATATATATTCCTTAGCCGACAGAATAATGTATGAAAATAGAACAGAATGATATCGTTAAAGGAGCTCATAGAGAAGAACAGTGCAAAAGCTACTGCTTAGTAACTTGTTTATTTTCTTCGAATATTTGAAGTGAGAGAAATAGAAATTCCAGTTATCTTTTCTTACAAAATTCCAAAAACTAAAAGGAGAAAAATTATAAAGTAAGACTATGACTCCTTTGTTATCCTGAACAATCCAATCATTTTGGGAAGCAGTTTAACAACATGGAAATATCATTACCTATTGAAATCAACATAAAAATTTAAAGTAAACTCTATTTTTGACGGGAAAGAAATGAAAAAAATAATCAAGAGGTCTCACCCTTCATACTCAGAACCAATATCCGGCAACTTGTCTCGACTGATTTGAGCAAGGTAACTCCTTACAAATAGTCCACGTAGTGGATGTTGAACTGCATGACACATTTCTACAAGGTCTTTAAGAACTTCCTTAGCAGGAGCCTCCTTAGATTTAATATAGACAGATCCTACCGTACATAGGAGATACCTGGTAGATTACCAACTAGAATTTCATGTACAATGACAAAAGAGGTGTAGCAATATAATCTTCACATGCACATAGATGATTTGAATACTTCGAGCTTATGTAGCTACAATGCGGAAATAGAATTTCGTAACTAAGGATGTTTCCATTTTTTCCTTTCATTTTCTTTCATATAACAATTAGAGTCCTATCTTAGCGACAGCTACTAAAATTGAGAAATAACTAAAGCTAGAATGCGTGCCTTTAATTATTCGAAATTTGGAAATGATACAAGAAAAAAATATAAAATGCGGTTATTGAATTTGTTGAAGAAAAATAATTTAAATCACTTACAATCTAGGCAAGATATTGCCAGCATGCTGAACAAGCTCGTACAGATCAACCACAGATACACCATGCTTGCCTTCGTCTTTGAAGAAAATCTCCAATTTCCTCAATTCATCAAAAGCTCGCATATCTAAATTCCAATGATAGATCAAAAAATTTTCAATCACAATCTTCAAAATTCAAAAACAATCGATCAATCAAAAGTGGAACAAAGAAAATTACAGAGGTCGTAGTATTTGTGAGGAGAGAGTTTGGAGGTCCGGAGCTCCGACAGCATCTGAGCTGAGTACTTGAGAGCTTCTCTGAGATTATTGGAGTCCTGCGATAACAGAGATCTAAATTAATAATAATGAAAGAGGATTAGACATCTTGATCCGGTCAAAATCAAAGGAAAAAGAGTTTTTAAGTGTTTAAGAGAGGGAAGTTTTTGGAGATACCAAGGCTCGATGCATGTAAAAGGCGTTGTGTTGAATTCCGGCGATTCCTTCCGCCAGCCATTTCTCTTCGTCCTCTGCTTCGTTTATCATCATCTTCTCTTTTTTCTTTTTTCCTTTTTTTCTCTTTCTTCTCGAGTGGAGCTGGCTCGAGAGCTGCACCAACGTTCGGCCTTCTCACTTGAAAATACTTGTTGATTTTCCTTCTTTATTTTTGGGACAAGTCTAAGGAGAAGAGGGCATATGAGGATGCCCAGCTGACATGGCATATTCGAGCAATGCAATTGGACCCTGCCTCCAACCCAAAATGCAAGCCCAAATCAGTAAAGGTAAAGCCTAATAGAGCGTTGAGCGCTGGACTATTGGGCTTTTCTAAGCTACTGTCTTTGTAATACATTTGAATAGATAAAAATATAATAAAATAATTATTATATAAGAATAAATGAATTGAAAATAAGTTAAAATAATTATTACGTAACTTGATTTGATATGATAAATAAAATAAAATAAAAATAATTATTATAATATTTTATTAATAATAATAACTCTGTAATAAGAAAAGAATATAAAATAAAAAGATAGAAATATTTTTTATTATATATATGATTATTTTATTTTTATGTTTTAAAAATTAATATTTTATTTATAAATTAAATATTATTATAATTATTTATTTTTATATTATTTTATTTTTAAATATTAATAATTTATAATTTATTTAAAATATTAAAATTGATAGTTTAAATATTAATATTTTATTTTTATTTTAATCATTAATATTAAAAATAATAATATTTAATTTATAAATTAAATGTTACTACTATGGTTGATTTTTATTTTGTTTTATTTTTAAATATTAATAATTTATATTTTATTTATAATATTAATAATTTATCATTTAAATGTTAATTTGTATTTATAAATTAATTAATTTTTAAGTATATTAATATTTTATTTATAATTTAATCATTAATATTATAAAATACTAATATTTTATTTATAATTTAAATATTATTCTAATTATTTATTTTTATTATATTTTTAAATATTAATAATTTATAATTGATTTAAAATATTAATAATTGGTCATATAAATACAAATATTTTATTTATAATTTAAATAATATTATGATTAAAATATTAATACTTTCAATTAATTTTTAAATTTAAAATATTTTATATTATATAATTAATAATTTAAACTTTTTATTATAATAAGATTTATTTTTTCTCTATTTGCATTTTTCATTTTTGAATTTATATTTTCACTTAATAATTTAAAAACAATATTTTTAAAATATGAATATTTTATTTTTAATTTAAATATATTATAAATAAAATATAAAAATATTAATAATTTTTTAATTTATAAGTTAAAATATTATTCTTGTAAGTTTAAGTTTATAATTTTTGAAACTAAATAAGAATGTTTCAATCTAAAATATTTAAACTTTATTCTCATGAGTGTGAAATAGTTAATACCATAAAGGATAGTGGTATTAGCTATTCCAAGCTTTTTTCAAATTTTGAGGAATAGTCATTCTTTTTGGAATGGTTATTCCTTCTTCAAAGGCAAACCAAATGAAGAGAAAAAATATTTTAAAGAATAGAAGAGATATTCCTTCAACCAAATATGACGTTATAATATTAAATTAAAATTTTGTGTTAAGATTAAGGAAAAAAATGAAATATTTTATTTCTCTTTCGCACATCAATTTATTCACTGTTTTAAAATATTTAAATACTTATGGAGAATATTTGAACAAGTAAAAGTGGCTAAGTAATTTACTACTTAAATATAATCAAATAGATGAAGATTAAGTTCAATTAATTTAATAAACCTAATATACAAAATATTCTCATATATTTATAAAATATTCAAATATTAATATAAAATATATTAAAATAAAAATTTTAATTTTAAATTTCCATTAAAAAGAAAAGACGGATGAAGTGTAAGTGTTGGTTGGGCACACATATAAGAGTAAAACATGGTCAAAATAACTTATCACAAGGTCGGAACTCTGTAGAACCCAGGAACCACGAATATTCATCTACTTTTCCTTTTACCAGACATACATTGAACAGTGTGGTGATTTACTGATTATTAAAACGTTGAAGCAATATCTAATACAGGTCAAAGTGGAGGGCTTGTTGACTTAAATCAATTTATTCAATGTTTTAAAACATTTAAATATATATGGACAATATTTGAACTGGTAAAAGTATCTAATTAATTTACTACTCAAATATAATCAAATCGATAAAGATTAAGTTCAATTAATTTAATAAACCTAATATATAAAATATTCTCATATGGTCAGATATGTTTATGGATACTATTCATATAATAAGAATACATCATGAATTTCACTAGTTAAATTTTGATAAATTTCAAATAATTAAAATATAGTTATCTCTATTTTTGATAAATCTTGAAACAAATTTTTAGTAAAACATAAAAATAAATTCATTCAATCAAGTACACTTTTTATGAAGATTATTGAACTTCTATATTACAAAAAAAATCCATTTTTAATACAAATATATTAAAATAAAAATTTTAATTTTAATTTCCATTAAAAAAAGACTGATGAAGTATATGTGTTGGTTGGGCACGCATAAAAGGGCTACACATGGTCAAAATAATTTATCACAAAGCAGGAGGGACGAATATTCATCAACTTTACCTTTTACCAAACGTAGATTGAACAGTAGGGTGATATACTGATGATTGAAACGTTGAAGCAATATCTAATTTAGGTCAAAGTGGAGGGCTTGTTGACTTTCCAAGGACCAATAAAAAATGAATTGCACGTTTGATTTTCAGTCCCAATATGATTAATTTTTTGATAAATATGTTGGCGGCAATTGCTTCATGTTGAAAAATGGTAGGTTAACTTAGCTTCGACTGATGAAAAACAAAGAACATTTGACAGTCAAAGATTCAAATTAGGACAGATGCGTGTCGTGTCGTCTTTGTTTTCACATTCTGCCCCTTGATCATCTCATTTACCCACATTGCCTAATTCTCATTATTTAATTTTTTATTTTTATTTTTATGAATGGATATTGTTCATGTTGCCACCCCACTCGATCACTGTTTCTTTGCCTTGTTGACGGAAATAAAGAAACGTCTGAGAAATTTCTCTGGGATTTTTATTATTGCTGGACTCTTTGAATTGGAAAAATCTACTGCCAGCTTGATTTCATGCAAGAAGAAAAATCTTGAATAAGAACATAGAAGGTTTTCTTGTTTAGAGAGAATCGAAGCACAGTGGGTCTGGGTTAAAGGGGCAAAGATGGTTAAGGAAATTACAGCAAGTAGGCAGGTTGCTGCTCATCGTGGTGAGCTTGTGAAATCAGCGCAGTTAGGAAAGGATTTAGTCTTAATCCATGTGTTTTCAGACTCAGGTTTTGCTAAAACTTTTCATCATTTTCAACCACTTGTTTAATTTGTACAAGAAACTGTATAAATTTAATTATGGGTTCTTTTTCATTTTTACAAATAGATAATGGCTTTGTAAATCTTCCTTGGCAAACAACCTGGTCGAGAAAAGATCACAGGAACATTGGCACGGACTTTGCTTTAGTGAGACAGGTATGCTGATGTCATCAGTTTGTCATTCTAACTTTTGCCTTTCCTTTTTAAAGAAGGAACAAATCCATTGTTCTGGTAATTGAATTTCAGGGTAACCTTGGCAGTCCACAAAGAAGTTCAATCCGTAAGGTTCTAAAAAAGCTAGCCAACTGCCGTGTAGCCAAGGCTGTGCTTATGGAAAGAAACCCAGAGGAGGCTATCTGGTAAGTTGACTTCTTATTGATGAGTACGTACAATTCTCGCGTTCTTTCCTCTGATAAGGCACAGAAATGGTTTGCAGGAGCTGGATATCATATGCCAGCTATTGCGTAAATCAATTGCCAACAATTAGTTCTCTTCTGGCTGTCCACAAGGGAAAGATCATCTTGGAAATACCACCGATTCAGCATTTAACAGGTTTGTACCAAACTCATACATTAACTTCCCTTGAATTGTTAGAGTAGGTTTCTGATTTCTATCAGCTTTGCAGGTTTCAAGCCAAATTCGAGACCTGATTTGTATCTCATAAAAAATGGTGCTAGATTGAGGGATGCAGAGAAACCAGAGTCTGAAGATGCTGAATCTCATGCGGTTCTGGTTTCAACAGATGTAGCAAGAGAGGATATTGGAGGGGCAAAAGAAGGCAATTCTAGTCGCAAGGCCATTCTCTTAAACTCGATATCTCTAATCCGAAGAAAACTGCCAGAACCAAGCCTTGGCTGGCCTTTGCTTCGAAGAAAACCTTCTCCAAATCAGGAAAATTTTAAGAAACCTGAAGCTAGAGATATGTCAGTTGTGGAATGGGTGATGAGCCTGCCTGATCCAGTTACCACAGTCGTCAACCACATAGCTTTGCATTCAAATCAAACCAGCATCACTTCCAAAACATATACTACTAAGGATTCTACTATAAACGATTGCAAGACTAAAGAAGCAATTCACAGCTCTGAAGAGGAGGAATCAGTAGCTAATGACAGTAGAAATTCCAAAGATGAAAATTATGGGCCTGGATATGATGCAGAATTGTCAGTTTCTTTGATCACACAAACTTTGGAACCAGATTCAAAACCAGGGTGGCCTCTTCTCCGCATTACAGCTCCCACAACTTCAGATTCTTTCACAGAATATGAAGCTGTAACAAACGCACCTGTTCAATTAACAGTCGAACCTCCACCTTCCAGGAATGCATTACTATCCACCGAAGTGGAAAATCCTGTTGGGAAAGAAAACTATTTCCCAGCGCTAAGAAAGATGCTGAACAACTTGGAGCTTCATTGCAAGCAGTACAGCCTCAGGGAGCTTAAGCAAGCAACTTCTGAATTCTCTCCAGGTTATCTTTCTAGTCAAGCTTCTACTTTTGGGAATTCAAGATGCTTTTAAAGGCTTATAAATTCAAAGCTTTTGATTTATTATTGAAGTTTCTTGTTCGGATTCGTTTGATTCTCTTGTAGAAAATTTGATCGGAGAGGGAGGATGCAGCAATGTATACAAAGGGCGTCTTCCTGGTGGCAAGGCAGTCGCTGTCAAAATTCTAAAGTCATATAAAGAAGCTTGGAGTGACTTCTTCTTGGAAGTCGTTATTGTTTCTTCTTTGAAACACGAGCATATCACACCTCTAATTGGAGTTTGTGTTGAAGATGACCATCT